CTAATATCACAAATTTCTGGGCTGCATTTACTTCCCATACTAGCGCCTATTTTCTGTACAAAGTATCGGTCATTAAATTCAAAATAATTGTTTTTGCAACACTGTGGCTACTAACGATTTAATTGTTTCACAGCTAGGTAATTTTATCGGATAATCTTCTTTTACTGCACTGCTATAAGCCCGTCCAACAGATTGAATGAGTTCATTGAACTCCATGTTGGTATACATGCTGATGCAGTCAAAAGAGATTAAAAGGTAATCCATTTTATTTATGAAATCCCCACTATCTCTAATGCAACTGGTCTGTCTATTAACTATAGGTAACAAAAAGTAATCAATAAATGTGCTAATCCTTTCGGTGACAGAGTTGCATTGAGAAATAATTGGTCTGCATAGGGGATTGATGTAAAGCAATTGCAAGTCTAGTAATACTAGCATCATATGATCATTACTTTTGTAATATAATTACAATAAAATACTAATAGTATGTATACGGAGTCTTCTGAATAAGATTTTTTGCTATTGGAATTCAGATTGATGATGGAATGCGTGGATGTTAGGTGTCACTGTTATACAAAGGCAACAAAATATACTATTTTAGGATGAACGATATTAAATGTATTATGAAGTCGCTTTTCAGCCAAACTACACAACCTATCATAAGTTCCAAAAGGAATAATGTTAACCTGCTTACAATCTACCTGACTCATGCTACTACCACGACTTGACGCAAAAAATGTAAGAACTACTATACATATCTGGAAAGTAAAACAATACTATAATGTACTAACACTGTTAAAATATCAAACTTTCCGATCGACCTCTCAATATGCCTAGGTGGCCACTGCCTCTCTGTGCATATCAAGATTATCGAGCAAAAAATGTCAAAGAAAACAGCAATATATAAGGAATCGTAAAAATAAAAAACAAAAAAAATAAGTACTATCCCTAAAAATAAAAATAATCACCATATCGATCTGGCTTCCTAGACTGTCTAGATGTACGACGTAAAACCGGTTCATTAAACTGTTCCACGGGTACATATGTACTTTCTGGAACGCTACCTACTTCATTGGAAATATCTGAATTCTGAGCAATTAAAGAGGATTGTTCATGCGTTAAGCTACTACTAGTAAGTGTTTCCTCAATATGTCCACTAGAGAGACCCGTATGTGTTCCAGATGTAAGATGTGCATTACCTGTACTATTACTCAAATTGAGAGTATCTGAGGTATGAGTTTGATTCCTTTGGAATCCTGAAGCTATTGAACGCAGTGGACTAAACTCTTCAGCCGAAGGATTTAGAGAACTACTTGATATGGCCTTATACCGACCTGGATGTACAAAAGGCATCAAAGCATCATCAAATTCAGAATCTGACTCATCTGAATACTCATGAACACTTTCTGTACCTTTATTATCTTTTACAGATTCTAAAATCTGTGTCTCATCGTCGACTCTATTGGATTCACTTGTGCACTATCTGTTTCTTTCTTTCTTACTATGAGGTACCAATTCTTCGGTTGGCAAAGAAGTAGATATAAATACGACGGTGACTCTTATTTGTAGATCTTGTCATGCTGATCATTTGTGCTTTGAATGAATCTATCTATCTATAGTTTTTGAGATATTAGGCAAAAATAGCAAAATTTGTCATTTAAGGGCAATAACTCAATAAGAAATCGTATAACAGTTTGATGTAAACGGACAGTAGGTAAATATATAAATTTAAACATTGGAGACTGAAATTTAAAAAAGAATAAAAGGAAAGGTCAGACAATCAGGAGCTAAGGTAACCGTTTGAAAATATATTGTAGTACACCAAGGTCCGTTAGAACTTTATTAAGATATTTGGGCGAACATTCAACAGAATTGCAAAATAGTTAATGGAGTGAGATTAGATCGTCTCTTATGTGAATGAAAGGAAATGTGAGGTATACACCAATGCGACAGCGATCTAACGACAAAAATAAATGAGAGATGTCTAGGGGTCAACATATTGCAGTCTTTAATATAAGACAAGGGTCTATACAATATGTCAAACTATAAATCGTCCAGAGTATAAAAAAAAGGTTGTGAAAAAAATAATTTAAACAAAGATCTGCAATAAACAAAAATTCCTCAAATAGGAAAAAAAGACAACATTGCCTAATACAAACCCTGTAGTAGTTTGTAGGTACAAAAACGATGGTTAAAATAAAACTGTGATACAACAAAATAGTTAACGTTAACACAGTAAGCTCAAGGTAACCAACTAGCTGATATAAAATCGGTCATATATTACAGGATGGCTGCACCACCTGTCACACGATTCCACAATCACTTCCGGTAGTAACTGTCAAAGATAGGAACTGTATGTACCATCTGCAAACTAGCTGTTGAGTGAAAGGAAACCCTAAAAATATAGTGAACACTAAAAGGAATATGCCAGATGTTTGTTTCGCAAGTTTAGAGGGTTTTTCAGACCCGCAACACGAAACTGGTAACTACATTTACCATTCGTATATAGAAGAAGCGTTATTCAACATTATGTAACTAAATGACAAAATATATAAAATTGAGAAGACAAGACTAACTGGTAACCAAATGTCATCAATTTACTGAAATGTAAAAGAGGGACAGAAAATACCAAAGGGACTGTTAAAAAATCATTAGTCGGAGATAACACTAAGGCCATAATGAAGAAAGACAATAAAACAAACAAAAGTATAAAAAATACTACTAGTGGAGGGGGGGGCTAAGAACTGAAATTTGACAAAATCATGCAAAAGCTGATACAAGCATAGGATTTGGCACATACGTTCTTTATGGTGTACTTTAGCATATTAGAGGGGTAGCCAACATATTATTTTTATCTTTTCACGACGGCCATCTTGAATTTAAAATTGACATCATTTTGCTCAATAAAAGTGGAGATTGAAAACAGATCACACCATTTTTTAACGTGATATAGGTGATGACAACTATTTGAAATACAACAAAATGAGCTGAAAATATGTAAAACAGACAGGAATTGTAAAAATAAATCACCACTTCTGGTTAGGGTGGTTAAAGTTCATACATTCGAGTAAAATAGTGGGGGTAATGATATGAGATAAAAATGTCGCTTCACCCAAGGTGGTAGCAGGTGCTCTGGAAGGATAGGCAGATCCTGCTTCATTAATGACACTGTCGAGTTGCTCATGCTCACGGCAAGTAAAGAGTTCGCATTCGGTGATGCCACGATCGGTGATATGTGAACGGGATTTTGATTACAATAATTGAGACATATTCGTGGTCAGATATTCCTTGACGGTCAACCAAAGCATAATAGCATCCGTAAAACTATAGAAGGGATGACTTCAACTTTTCAATTGTTAAGTTTATTGTGTTTCAGGTTAATTTATTATACTTCGAACTGTTAACATTTTTGTGGCTATAGCGCCTTAGTGTAAACATATTTTATTTATTGAGTTCAAGTTAAATAATATGCACAATTTGGCATAAACTAATTAAATAATTAATAGAATCTGGAAACAAACTATTAACTTATATTAATCCGTTTCCTAGAGCCTTGGTTGATTTACATTGATTTTTAAGGTAATGATAGTAAATTTATTGATGTTTTGTATTAACATTTATTAATAAAATAATATACTGTAAGGCTGTATCTCATATCTCAGTGGTTTATTGTTGTATTGTCTGTAAGTACAGCCTCGTTTTAACTAGAGGCTCTAAAGAGCATGTGTTGCTCTCATTGATCTATGTGAATTTTCAACAATGGCCACTCTCCAACATTTAAGACTAGAATATAAATCATGACTCCCTTTTTGTTGATCTTGTACAGGTGATAATTTATTCTGTTTCCAGTTTCTCTCTATATGTATATATCATAGTGTTTGCATAATATATAAAAATCATCATTAAAGGGCAATAACTTCTCTAAGGAATCGAATTAAATTTCAGCTGTGTTGATATATTTGTAGCTCTTGTTCTGCTGATATGTTTTTGTTTATAATTTTTCTTTATCTTCTATAGTTTTGACTAATTGTGCAAAAAATGGAAGAAATCATCATTTACAGACAATAACACCTATAAGGAGGCAACCGACGATTTCTGCCATCTTTAAAGATCTTCTAATGATCATTTTTGCTGTTTGCAGTTTTTCTTTTATCTATATTTTTGGCCCAAAAAGCATAAATCAATAAATATCGTTATTTAAGGGCAATAACTTCTATAAGGAGTCGACGAACGAGTTCGGTCATTAGACAAATTCGAGGTTATCATTAACTCAGTAGTCAGTACTTCGGTGCACATGATTTATAACAAACATTTCTTAAATAATCCGTTTATAAATAAATGAATTATTAAGAAACAACGGTTTCAACTCCCTCCGGCAAATTTGACCTTAGATGGATTTGGTTATTATTTTAGGTCCTTTTTGGTCGAAAGCTCTTCAAATGTTTCGTTCATTTACATCCTTGGCTTTCAAATATTCGGCTTTGAACGATCATAATGAAGGTAAATCCAGAAAAGCGCTTCGGACCAGTGAAATTTATAAAGTGTTGTTTTTATTTTTTGTAGATCTTGTCCTGCTGAAAATTTTTGCGATTTAAAGTTTCTCTTTAGCAATAATTGTTTTCAAGATAACAGACAAACATACAAGACATTGGTGAAAACCGTCATTTAGGGGAAATGTTTCCTATGAGGAGACGTCTGGTGGTTTTTATGTCAATTGAAAGTAGGTAGATCTCAACATTATAAACATTTCTACCACCTGTCAGATTTTCAAAATAAAAGACATCACTATAATTTTGCACCTATTTCTATTTTTAGCCATACCGGCCATTTTGGTCGGAAAGCGGGATCATCTGACACATGTTGTGAACTAAATACCCCAAGGATGATTATGGTCAAGTTTGGTTCCAAAATGGCCCAGTAGTTTTTGAGGGGAAGAAAGATTTTTGTAAAACTTAATGGACGACGACGACTGATGCCATGTGGGGAATAAAAAATGAGACTAATAATACATTGTGTATTATAGACTACAATTTACAGTGTTATTGTTTTGAGTTGGTTTTTTTTTGCATCCAGAGAAACACCATTCTTAGGTTTTCCAAACAAGCTCTAGAGAATCCTTTTCGTTTGGCCAGTGGAATATGCCTGAAAAAGATATATTTTTTATATATCATCTATACTGGAGTTCCTTTTTAAACTTCTCATATTTAGCTCTTCCAATTTCAAAACTACTCCATTCTCTTTTAATAAATGATGGTTTGATCAGGAATATAGTATGATTGTCTGCTCTAATGTATTGAGACATAACTAGAATTTTACACCTATTTCTATTTTTAGCCATGCTGGCCATGTTGGTCGGAAAGCGGGATCATCTGACACATGTTGTAAACTAGATACATCAAGGATGAATGTGGTCAAATTGGCCCAGTGGTTTTTTATGAGAAGATTTTTGTAGAACTAAATGGACGACGACGACGAATGTCATGAGAATAATAAAACATTGTGTATTACAGACTACAATTTACACTGTTTTGTTGGGTTTTGTTTTTTTTTTTTTGCATTCAGAGAAACATCAATCGTAGTTTTTTCCAAACAATCTCCTGACAATGCTTTTCGTTTGGTCAGTCAATTAAGTATATGACCTTCCAATTTGTGTTAAACTCGAATGGAATTTGCCTGAAAGAGATATATTTTATATTTAGAAATTTTGTAATCGGTGTTTATATTAATGTTTCTTTTATTCTCTGTCCGAACTTGGTAATGTTTTGTTTGAACTTCCAATGAACTAGGACGCACGTGTTCGTATTTAAAGTGTTTGTCAGCTGCACTTCCATCATTTGCTTCTAGAATTTAGCAACAACAGTTTTGTGATATCAAACTATTGCTTCTCACAATTAGACGAAACCAACACGCAATGACAATGATTCGCTTTTTTGACCTATTATGTATGTTTGTTTTGTTCAAACATTGTTTTCAATATAATGGAATTTTATGCGACTGTCATACAAGTTAGAGGTTTAGCTTGCTATAAACAAGGTTTAATCCACCATTTTCTACATACGGAAATGCCTGTACCAAGTCAGGAATATGAATGAATGAACTTTATTCTCACAAAACTACATGTTATAGTTACAGAGAAAATATATATCAATAATTACTTATATTTATATATAAGCATGCACATGTGTGAACAAACGTAACTTAACTTGGAAGACTCACTTTCACCTGTATTATTTTTAAAAACTTACATAATTTTTCTAAAAGGATAGCATTGTCTGAATTGAATAAACCATTAAAACAAATAATAAATTATTATGCAATATGTTGAGATAATTCTCAAATTTCAAATTAGTCTTAAAAATTCTATAACATAGGCATTTAGGTAAGCTATCTATCTGTGACAAACATAACTGTGTGAACTGATCTTTAAGTTTTTGTTCCACACTTTTTGATACCCATTTGTCAGCAAACTGCATATTCCAAATATTAGACATTCCACAATTATCTAAAACATTTTTTATATAAATCAACCATTTACTTTCAAAACCATAGTTATTTAAATTTATAAGTAATAATTGATAAAGAACATGAGAAATTTTACACTCTGTACCGTGTATAATTCGGCCCCAAAAATTAATCATACAAACTTTTGCATAAAGAAATATTGGGAATCTGCCTAGTTCAGCATGAACTATACAGTCTGGGGTTGATTGCTTCAAATGTAAAATGAGTTTGCAAAATTTTAGGTGCACCCGCTCTCATAAGTCAAAGTTTTCAACAAAACCCCAAATCTCTGACCCATATAACAACATATAACAAAACAGCCTTATCAAAGAGGTCTAGTTGACATTCAATAGATAAATTATTAAGTCTACTCTTCTTCAAGATAGAATATATAGCCTTTATTCCTTGGTCTCGTAAATATTTTCTAGTCTGTAAAAATGAACCACTTTTTGAAAAAAATATTCCTAAATATTTATAATTTTTAACAATTTCAATTTCAGTATCATTAATAGAAAAATTCAAATTTTGTGGCATTCTACCATTTGCAAAAACAAGAACTTTTGTTTTATCAACATTTACCTTAAGTTGCCATTTGTTACAATATATGGCATATTTGTTTAACATATTTTGTAATTCAGTGTTACTATCCGCTAATAAAAATTTTGGGGTACTCCATATCGTAACTTGGACAGGCAACATAACGTTACATATTTCGTTTTGGGCTTGATAATGTATTTTGGCAACATATATTATCGTTCCCAAAATTTTCCCGAGTAGTTATGGTGACATCGTAACGAGGAATAGCTCTCATCTTGATTGCTCAGCAGTTCTATTTCACGTCGGTCTATGCCGATCTAGATCTACTTTTAGTATAGTTCAGAAAAAAGTTTGGATTTGAATTTCACCTTAATATAAATATTAGTAAAGTACTTTTATTATTGTGAAAAAAATGATCAAACGGTATAAACTTGTATGACAGTAATTTATAAATCTCTTTAAAAAATATCTATACTAAAAATAAATTCAAGAACAGAACAATTTGTAGTTTACTATTATCATGAAACGACAAGGTATACCGGAAAGTACAAGTGTGTATAGACAATAAATAAAGTACAAGTGTGTATAGACAGGGGCGTAGCTACCCGGAGGCATGACAGCACGTGCATCCACGTCGTTTTCACTAAAAATAAAACACAGAGAGAGAGAGTGAGGGTCAAAGTTAACTTATAAGAATTAGTCTTTTTAAGTATGCATTTTAAAAACTACACAAAGAATAAGAGCAAGAGGAATACACATGCAGCGAAATTTTTAATCCTGTAAGACATGTATTCATGTGTACGATAAATACATACAATTGGTGTAAACATGGCGGAACTTTTTATATTGTGGACATTGTTTAGAAAAAAAACAAGCTACATAGTTGTCGGTACCACCACCATAACGTATACTCGCCTTGAGAGCAAAAAAAAAACATAATCCCTTTAGGGTTAACAAAAAAACTTCAAAAATATTATTTTCCGCTTCGCCCCAAAGCACACATCTTACTAGAACGAAGACTCTTCAACTCGTATCTATCCGGGAATAATGACTGTTACCTTGTGAACTAGTTCAAAATTGACCAAGTATGTAGGTCTTGACAACACGAATACTTCATTTTCACAACACGTAAACGTATTCCAGTCCTGGTGTGCATGTAATATTTGCTACTGGACATTAATAACCATTCGATCAATCAATAGTTTCCGTAAACTAATAGATGAGAAGTTGGAACTGCTGTTATTATAAAGAAAGTACACATTTTCCAGTACATGTATTATGTATTTATTTTACAAAAAACATCTTGTATATAGATTCGATAATTCGAAATCGTTTCTATATGGGCCGGTTATACGAATAGTTGATTGTAAAAGCATTTAAATAAAGTGTTAATTCTAACTCGTTTTACTGGACTATTTGGTCATTCAATTTTATAATGAATTTTCTGTCCGAGTCGGACACTAAACTGCTGATTCTTGTTCGAAAGAAACACCAAACTTTTAACACACTTATCTTCACTTTTATCATCTAGATATTGCCATACAACTGGTCGAATGCACATGTATTTGTTAATAAGCTGGATAATTAACAAACGCAGATCATGACTGAAATATCGCGATCAAAGTACCATTTCCTCTGAAAAAGTTCGAGAATTCCTAATTGCGTAAAATTAGAAATTCTTATCTCTCTCTTGTAGAGTTTACACACAGAATTTTTAAACATCTAAATCCATATGTTCAGCAAAATATTAGAGAATGTGTCCACCAAGTATCTGGTATCCAAAGATGTTTATTCTAACAGAAACTCCACATATAATATTGTGTTTTTGTATATTGTTTTTTTTTTTTATACATCTACTTTGCTCAATACAAATACTAGCATATGGAACAAATCTCAGTGATTTTAAAAGCTCTGACGGCGTACAAAAAACGCAAACGACAATGTTTAGTCTTCATTCGACTCGAAATTAAACAAATAGTTGACCAAAAAAACCACAACAAAAATGTACAAGTTTTATTATGGTTGTGATTGTTTTGAAACGCTATAAATGCTGATCTTCCCCTGGCCCCCTACCAGAGATTTGCCCTGGAACTACTGGGTGCCTTAGGCGGCCCCCTAACCCTTCGCCCTTTAGTTTGTGATTCCACTTCATTAAGACGGTAGCTACGCTCCTGATAGACAATAAATAAAGTACAAGTGTGTATAGACAATAAATAAAGTACAAGTGTGTATAGACAATAAATAAAGGTTTGTAAGTAACGTCAAATTATCATAATCACTAACATTTCTCCTATTTTTTATGCATATAAGATTAAAATTATGCCTATTCACAAAAAAATCTCAATATTTCAACTTTCCTATAATTTTCATTTCCCCCCGCGTTTTTTCGCTAACACTTTCTTGCAGTACGCCTATATTAAGACGTTTGGGAACTTTAATGCACAGCCAGTCTGGATGGAAAAAATGCCTTGGCACTGAACGCGTATTTTCACTATTGGCTCATGGCAAAAAAGATGGTTAACAACAGAGGTATTTATGATACAATTTTTTTTCATTTCCGAAAACAGTATTATTATTTTAAAACAGCTCGAAATAAGCAATATATATAAACCTGAAAAATTACTCCGGTATTAAACCTTGCAGGGGACGTCGAAACGTCCTGCATTTTCGCGCTTACGTTGAGGTTATCAAAGGGGGTGGGGGGTAAATTTGGCGATTTAATGCTTTGACATCAAGGCCATCCTTTCCCTGTATTATCGTTGTCGTTAAATGTTATTATACCGGTTGTTGTTATAGAATTATTAGATGATAGGTACATGTAATTGGAGAATAAGTGGTAGATTGTTGTGTTTGCAGTATATAGTAGTATTCATTCCATACCTGGCTAGTAAATTGTTTGTACTAACAAGTCTCGGTTCCTGATCCATTTCAGTGTAGAACCCTCTGATGAATGACCCTGCGTATGATGGACAGGTACTGGACATGAAAGGGGGAATCATAGTACTGGTAGCTGTGATTACCATCAAATTTAAGAAAATACGAATATTTCAAGGTAAACAATAGATATCGATGTATAAACATGTATGAATTGTACATAACTATGAAACACGGAAAACTTGTTAGAATAACAAGCCTACTTTTTTACACTCTCATTTTCTTTTACTAATATGATAAATGTGTCAAAGCAAAGAGTTGTATATTTAGATATACAATTTCTTGTTCAAAGTAGCTATGCATGATGTCTGCACCTATCTGGTTATATTATGTTTGTGGTAACAATCGCCATCTTCAAATGAATAATTAAACAAATTAAATACTAAAAATATCATTGTGTTTAGACATAATTATATAACAATTAACACTAACGATAAAGATAGCAGTACATTTCCTACTTCATTTCCTCCTTGACTTTTTAAAGACTTATGCTCTGTAAATATAGAAAACATTTATTTTTTATTTTGCTAAAAATGACACAAATCTACTTTTAAAAAACCTTTTTTATGTTTACAGAATTAAACTATATGTTAATGAAAAATCAATAATAATATATATACCTCATTTTCTTTTGTCAGAATCCATCTTTATTTTAGCGGGGGAAACTCGTGTAGATAGTTGATAATTAAACGACGCATTTTACGCGAGTGCATAGTTTCAAAGTGTATGCATCGTTTGTGTTAGAAAGGAATGCACTCTTATATTTCATTTATTGACTAATTTACATGTTGTATTGTGCAATTGTCCCCTCATACATATTGCTACATCTGCGGATCATGTCAAAACAATGATGTCTTGACAAATGAACTCAGGAATAAAACAGACAGTTAGATGAATTAGCTTTGTACATATCTCGAACAAAAATGTCTTATTGACAACGAAGTATTTATTAAAGACGACACATTTGTTTAATTGCTTGTTGGTAAATATATATATATACATTTGTTATGCAGACTTCATTATCAGGTAAATGGCAAGTGTTGATACTACAATGTACCTATCCGTAGATTATTTCATACAATTAAAACACAGGCTAGGTATTGATAAACCGTCAGTTAACAGTATCAAATTACTACAAGAGTGAAAATGGCGTCAAGTGATAAAAGTTGTTTATATTTCATAAAAACCAATCTCTTGGTGATTTTGACACTGATTGGAGTAATTGTTGGATTTGCTATTGGAATTTCTGTCCGTGAGCTTCACCCTTCTGCAGATGCTCTTATGTGGATCGGTAAGTTTCACTCTATATTCATGATATTCATATTGGTAGATTTCAATAAAGATGGATACATTTGAACATAAACGTTACAACTTAATAGTAACTATGAACTTACAAGCAAATTTCTAGACATGAAAGTATTGATATAATGTGTTATTGAAATTATTGTTATTTAGCTCTGAATGCAAAATTGCCATATGGATTTTTTGTGTGTAATAATTTCGTCTTAGTGAATCATTTTTTAAAGTATTTTTAAAGGGATTTTATTACAAATACAAAATGTCTGTTGTTCTATAGGTATCCTTGGTGAGCTGTACCTAAATGTCATTAAAATGATGATTGTTCCACTGGTAGCATCTTCTATAATATCAGGTACTCTTTTTTATTCATATAAAATCAAAAAATCCAATTTCTCAAAAACACTCTTAGTTAACGACTTAAATGCACCAACCTAATACACAGCTATATAAAGCATTCAAAAGCTGATTATCTGTACTTTCTGTTCTGACCGGTTGTATGAAATAATAAAATAATTCCAAATCAAACACAAATTAAGACGTTTATTGCGCAATATTTACAGAAAATGCAGTTCTTAAAAATTCCTCAAAAATGAAACAATTGCTATAAAAGCCAAATATGTCATAGGGTCAATATTGATCTGCCCAAAATGAATTAAAAATTATCGGTTATATGTAAAAGCTTTTTTTTTAATCATTTTACAGTGCAATTAGTGCTGTTTTTGTTTTTTTGTTCGCCGATACAGCCTTCTCTTGAAGCGTTTACACTTGCCCTATAATACCGCCATCTGCATATAGGGATCATTTTGCTGTTCTATGTATAGAAAACATATTCACTGTTGTCAATATCAGGAAGAAAATAATTTGTCAAAATTAAAGAAGGAAAAATTAAAAAGGGAAAATGAATTTACGAACTTTATACGGTAAAATTTGTGTGTTTTTTTTTAAGTCAAACTTATTGATTTTTCAAGTCATTGAAGTCTTGATGAAATGCCAACTGACTTTGATCTTAAATCGGTGGCATAATTGCAATTAGTAACCTGCCTTTGGAACGACTCAGTTGAACTTTGTGTAATATTAACGAACTATCAAAGTTATTTCGTTTTTTACGCTTTTCTTCATATTATGCAAACCAATTCTTAAAAAAAACTATGTCAGTTTATATCAGACAGCTGTATAAATATGTTACCTAATATGTAAATTCGGTTTAACCATATATATATAATTCGTCTAAACAACAGCCCAACAATGTTAGATCTGTAAATTTGCGGAAGCAAATTTTTTGTTCTTCCCTGGCCGGGATTCGAACTCATGCTTATATATATATATATACATTTATTGTTTTCTGTTTGGTATTAAATTAATAATTAAGATCCATTTTGTTACATCTGGTGATCCGTTTATTTGGCAATCGCCGTGGCAGTCAGCAGGTTTTAAGAACATCCGTTGTTCGACCTGCTAGTCAAATGCGTTTTGTTAAAATATACTTTTTCACTTTTTTGGTCTTTTGGAAAAATGTTGTTTGTGCTGTATTTAGACCCCTCTACCAAGGAATTTGTTTTGCATGTACACGTATAAAAATTGCGGTTTTTATTAAACGCAATCATAGGTTTGAACGTCGCTTTCAATTTAGACTTGTATATATACATGTATGTACATTTAAATGTTTCACCTTTCGATGAGTCAATTTTCTATCAATGAGTGACGGGTGAGATACCGAAAGTCACCTACTACTAAAATAGCACTTTCGGTTTTGTGGATAATTTTATATACCTTTTAAGGTCGACGAATTTTTGAATGTATACAATGAACAATGCACGATGCAGTTGAAACAGCCAAGGAGACGAGTTTTCTAATTTATATTAGATAATTTAGAATTCCACTTTTCATTAATCATATATTATTTATTTATTTATCGTTTTATCTATTTTTGGCAGACTTAATTGACATAAGAAAGTCTTTTATTTCTCTTAATTTTTGTTATGAAATTACAGAAAATAGAAAGAGTTTGTTTTTTTCAGGCTGGAAGTTACATTTTGTACAATACATATTGAAATATCAAAGTTCCGCCCCCTAAATTTACACCACAATCAGGAATACCACATGTATTTATATCCTTAAACTTTTTCACATTTTTTAGAATGGTGTTCCGTCAACCTAATATTATCTATATACTCTTTTAATGTAGAACTGCTTAAAAGCTGAGTTCTTTCAGATGGTTGTATAGTGGGCAACTATATGTTATGATTGGTTGTTAAGTTAGCATTATGAGTGACTATAGTAAATTAATGATGTTGAAAACTGACTTAATTTTAATTTGGTTTTAGGTAATTGACGTTGAATCAAAAAGAAATAATTTGGTTTTCACTCAGTTTTATTATTTTTACTAGCATTTCATTAAAAATAGGCGCTGTGTATTTAACATACGTCATAATATGTAAACATTCGTTTGATAAATGACGTTAAATATCTTTAAAAAAAAATATATTTGTTTTTGTACACTATTTTGTTATTCAGAAGACAGAATATGCAATAATGCAGATATCTTTAGAAAAGAGAAATTGTCAGTTCTTAACCTTAGGTTTGATCTTGATTTGACGTAAATTGCACCGTAAGAATATTTTTACGCCCGGACAAACAATATAGTTCATAATTATAACATGTCTTCGAACAGAATATGATTTAGCCGTGTGTTCGGTATGCGATTAAAACTCTAATATATATATGGTTAATGTCTATCCACCATAAACTTTAGCTTCAAATAATGTGTTTGATGATCTTTGATAATTAGCTGTTTCAGAATCTAATGCATTGTGGGTAATGTTTTCAAAAGCGTACACCAAAACGTTGTGAAACAAACAACGCCCTTAATAAGGATATCCAAATTTACATTACTGCTTCAATATTTCATTAAATAGCTGAATTATACATATAGAACAAATTCAAACAAAGTCAATTTTCACTGATTAATCTGTTACAAATTAAAAATGTCTCAAAGAAGATGTTCCTGTATTTTCTAAGCTGTCAGACTATTATCAACATTAGTTCATGCACTTAAATGGTCCTATATGATAAAAACATCTTCAGTATTGTTTACGTAATCTAATTACATAATTTTGAAGGTCAAATTTACTTTTCGACCGATCAGACATCAGCAATACAGTATTTCGTATACATGTATTTAAGAATTCTTCGTTCAGTCACAGTTTAGATGACCTGAAAACTCTCTACCTCTAAATGGCAAATATTTCGTGCATGTTCAGGACGAGAACAAATTAACCATTATAACTATACAAGCTAGATTCTGCAATAGGGCACCGACCGGGATGACAGGCGGGAAATTTGGAATGCAATTGAAAATGATGGTATACTAGTATTTGATAGGAAGATAATTTTTTCCTTGCAACAAACACCTTACATACCCTTCAAAGAGTTGTTACAAGGGTTCTTAACGTGTCTAGAGCGTACGCTCTCTCTCTGCACGAGCCATCTGATATAACGTCTCCATTCTGACTGCACATTTATATATTCTTCACACCTTAACTGAAGCCCCACTCTGCAAGGGCTTTTACTACCGGAAGGAAGAAGACCAAGAGTGACCATATTTCTATAATCCAGTCAACCCGCGGGGAGGAAATACATCTAGTATTAATATAATTTTCGTAAATAGTTACCAAATAATTTGCATGTACATGTATGCATAAAGTAGACACATTATGTCTAGACAGTATTTTTTTTTATTATTGCAACGATAGTTTTATTAACCTTATCATTTTTATTGTTAGTACGTATAATGATTCACCTTCTAACTCTTATAAAATTATAAACTTATCTGGCTAATTCGTTCTGGACGTAAGACCATAACCTGATGTATGATAATGTCAACACTTCTTTGTGTTATAATGTGCATGGCGTTGAATAATCAACTAATATTAGTGTTACATATATGCCCGTTTCAATGGGTCAATATGTACAAACTTTTCTATATGACTGTGTACAGTTTTAAAACTTGTTTTGAACTTTTGAAAGACAATTAGAGAATTAAAAAAGCCTTGATTTATTTCCAATGGACAATTATTTTTTTCCAACCGTACGCCTCCGACTTCTTATGTAGTTATCACTTTTTCCAACCATACAGCTCCGACATCTGATGGAGTTATCGCTTTTCCTAACTGTACTCCTCTGTCATCTGATGGAGTTTTCGCTTGTTTCAACCGTACACCTCTGTCAATTGAGTGAGTTATCGCTTGTTCAACGGTGAACCGTACAAATCCGTTACCTGATGGGGTAATCGCTTTTTCAAACTGTACTCCTTGTCTCTTTTGGAGTTATCGCTTGTTTCAACCGTACACATCCAACATCTGATAGAGTTATCGTTTGTCCCAACCGTACACATCCAACAT